TAGTACACTGATTTTAAGTCCTGATATGTCAAGGAGTGGTGCCGCAGTCTGGCTGGGCACGATTCAGGAGCCACTTGTCAAAAGAAACGAACTTTATTTTTAGAACCACACATGCCAAACAAAACAGCTCCTCAGGAAAAACCCTCAGAGCCCAACTGCCACCACCAGCTTCCCACAAGCCTCTCCACCTCCCACAACCCTCCTGCTCTTGAGGCTGATTGGCTGGGTTGCGTGGGCGGCGCCAAAAAAGTCCCCCAATGAGCAGCTCCGTGGTCTGAAAGGGCAGGGAAATAGCCCAATGAGCATCACCGCAGAGGAGCCAATCAGCTAGATGTTTCTGGGGCGCTGTGAGCCAATCATCAGCTGGCAGTCTGAAAGTTTGCTGGGGCCCCTTCGGCTGTGGCTCTCAACAAGTGGGATAACTGGGTCAAAAGTAGTTCCATTCCAAGTTTTCTGAGGAATTTCCGTACTGCTTTTCATAGCAATTGCACCAATTTGCAGTCCCACCAGCACGAGTGTGCCTTTCCCCCACATCCTCACCAGCATTTATTGTTAATGGAGATCTTCAGTTGATCATGTTGTTACCCAAGCAGGGGATCCAAGAGCCAGGGGCTGAGTCCCATTTCTGGTTCTCATTCACTTTTTCTGTTCTTTCCTTTCTTTGGTAAAATAAGTATGATGCCATGTACCCCTATTTATTATGATTGGACGAATTCATGCCCATAAATTGCCTCCAATATTTTAAACACAAGGTATTCACATATTTTTTCTAGTTGTTGGATTAAAGTCAGGCCATATATACTTCATTCTTAATTGAATTGAAGTTTTTGGAGGGGTCTGGGGGAGTGACCTTCCCTGGGATACAGTGTAAACTTTAGGGATATTGTGCTTCACAGCCTGAGGAGGTGGCATGGCCATCTCACCACTTGTAAAGCCCTTTGAGGCCTATTTTCACAAGGGGACTTGCTCTCAGAGAATCATTAGGATGTCTAGAGGTTGCAGGTCCCTGTCTTGGAGAAAATGGATCAACCAGGAAAAGCATCCAATGTAATACGGCTCTTTTGGTACCATAGGTGGTTCTGAACACCCAAGTCACACTTCTTAAAATAAAAGGATAAAACCCAAGTACTTTGCACAGATCTATCCTTTTGAGAACAGTTCAAGCCAAGCAACAAACAAATAACAATACCCACAGATCCTACTAAGACTTTTCTAATATGATCATTTAAGTGAGATAATGTTTAAGTGACTCTGTTAAGTTGCTGATTATCTGCTCATTCTCTATGAGGATGTGTGTGTGTGTGTGTGTGTGTATCATAGTAGACATGAACATTCACTATAATTCTTTTATTCTTTTTTGTTGTTGTTTTTTTTGGGGGGTTGTTCTGGGGATCTGAGGAGCCCTCGACCACTGAGCCACATCCCCAGCTCTATTTTATTTAGAGACACTGAGTTGCTTAGCACCTTGCTTTTGCTGAGGCTGACTTTGAACTCCTGCCTCAGCTTCCCAAGCCTCTGGGATTACAGGCATGCACCACTGTGCCTGGCAATTCTCTTATTCTTTCAGTAAATATTTCTTGGCTTTCATATTCGGGCACTTCAGCACAGCAAGGTGCAAACCCATGGCAGATCCCTAGCCCCAACAAGTTTGTGTTTGAGGGGGTTTGATTTCAAAACTGTAAATGTCATATTTAGCATGACGTCAATACTTCTGATGCTCTTGGCTGGAAAATTCACGCCTTGGAAGTGGTGGCAAAGGCTGGGTTTGTTTTAATAAATTGGTTTAGTACCGTGAGTTCCACAGAATCGGGTGCTGAAGTCTGTTGTTATACCCCATGCACATACGTGTTCGAGAATTGTGGGCTCCTTTTTTTAAAAACATTGAAACTATTGGTTTCTTCTTAATTAAGATTTTTTTTTCTTCTTTTTGCCTAGTGGAGCAAAAACTGTGCCTGTTTTGATGGGGCAGCAGAGCTCAGCGTGCACGTGGGGGGTCCGCTCCTCCTGCTGTGCTTCTCCCAGGTTTGTGCTGATTGAGTCTGAGCTGCAGCACTTAGAGGGAGGGAACTGCGGGGAGGCTCACCGGCACCCAAAGACCTCTCTCCCTTTGATGTCAGCTCCAGCACTTCTTGAAATCATAGCCACAAAGACTCTGCACAGCTTCTTTCTTCATTCTCACCTTTTCAAAGACTGGCTCATTTACATGCTTGCCGAATGTTGAGTGGATAAGGGAAAAGATCTCAAGACCAAGACTCACAATAATGAGTTTCTGATCTTGACTCTAAAAATAAATAGCTGGACTCTCCATCAGGGGATCAGAGTCTCTGAGCCTCTATATCCTTGTTTTTAAAATCAGAAGTTCATCTCTTAGGTCCCCTCAAATTCAGATCATTGCAGATGATCTTTTTTAGGAGTTCTTGGTAACAACAGATATCCATAGCATGTAACTTGCATTTTTCTTCTGCCTCATAATGAACCCTATGGAAACCTCCAAATGGAATCAGTGCTCCTGCAGAGTGCTGAGGGGCTGAAGGCTCCTTGTCAGGAAAAAGGAGAATTTTATTATTGCCATTATTATGACTATGGATCATTTTTGGGTCACTTAGGATATTCCAGGAAGTATGCCGAGTGCTTTATTATGCTTCATTTCCCTTAAGTCCTCAACAACACAATGATCGAGTCCTTTCATTTTTCTCATTTCATAAAAAAGCAAATCAAGGCTCAGAAAGTTTAGTTAACTCGGCCAGGCTCTCAAGCTAACAAGGACAGAGACAGATCTGTCTGGTTTCACAATTTGCCGTTCAGGAAAGATAAAATGTCAAATAAGTGCTGCTAGACAGTGTCACTGCAGACCACCTGCCCCACAGGTCTGCAGGTGTGTGTATGTATGTGTGTGTGCACATGTGCGTGTGCATGCATGCAGGGGTATGCAGGAGTTGCCATCTTGGAGCATCCCTGTCAACTCTGTAGTGAGAAGTTCTTTCCTTTCCCAGAGGTAACCAGAGTCAGCAAAGATCCTGGGCTGAAATAAAGTCCTTTCCCGTTAGTCCTGCCTCTGCCAGGACTAGTAAGAGCAATCGACACTTTGCCCAAAGGAAGGGGAATAGGAAGGGCAACTCAGAGTCCTAACCAACCCAATTTTCCAGCACAGAGTCTCAGTGACTAGGGCCTGAGTAACCTATGTGTGTGTGTGTGTGTGTGTGTGTGTGTGTGTGTATATATATATATATATATATATATATATATATATATATATATTTCTGTTCATGCCAACAAAGCTGCCATTGATGGACACAGGGGCATTAAAGCCCAGAGCACATCCCGGCATGGGAAGACTCGTGAGATGATGACAGCTGGTGGCTGGTAATGCAGACCTGGGCTCTGTGTGGGGACACATGGGCTGATCTTCTTGGTCCACTCCCAGGTCTGCATTACCAGCCACCAGCCCCTCCTCCTGCAGACTCCTTGGCATGACTCACACACACAAAATTGCTTTTGCTGGTGAACAGCCTTCTCCTCACAATGGATTTGCTGTACTATTCCACAGGGGAGAAAAAAAAAACAACACCATAAACCAAAGAATTAATGTACGTGTCATAGTCTGGTGGCTGGAACACTTTGGTGAAGAGGACCCAATAAATTCAGGGAGGTGCTGTGTTTGCGTTCAGCGTGGGCCCAAGGCCGCACACAGCTCACTTGCTGTTTACATCGAGTGCTGCTAGATAGACAGTGTTACTTCAGACCTTCTGACTAATTGAAAATGTACACTTTTTTTTTATATCAGGGATCAAACCCAGAAGTGCTTAATCATTAAACCACATCCTTAGTCCTTTTGTATAGTTAATTTAGAGACAAGTTCTTGCTGAGTTGCTTAGGGCCTCACTAGGTTGCTGAGGCTGGCATTGAACTTGAGATCCTCCTGCCTCAGCCTCCTGAACCACCGGGATTATAGGTGTGCACCACCATGCACAGTGAAAAATATACACTTTTTACTTGGTTTTTCAAAGTGCTATAGTTTAGTCCTGCTGCTGGGCATGTAGAACAACTGCAGATCCTTCAGATTCTTTGTACCACTCACCCCTTTCTTTGCTGAGCTGGGTGCAGGCCCCAAACTACCTCTGTAAGCCTCTCTGAACCTCATTCACAGTCTGATTTGAAAGGACTCAAGATCTTCCTTCTCCTGTTACAGATGAGGACCGAGAAGCCCTGAGCACCTGGCCAAGGTCTCAGTGATCAAGATCAGAAATCAGTTATCATGACCCTTGGTCTTGGGAGCTTTTTACTTACCCATTCAACATTTGGCAAAGTTTTAAATAAGCTGGTTCTTTGAGGAGCTGAGAGTTGGGAGACAAAAGCACTGCCTTGAGGAGCCCACGGTCTTTGTTTTGGGGATTGCAAGAAGCACAGGAGCCAGTATCAAAGGGTTAGAGGTCCTTGGGTGCTTAGAGAGTGATTCTCCCCCATGGCTCCCATCTTCCACTGAATGCAGCTCAAACCCAATGAGCACAAATCCTGGATTCACTAAAAAAAAAAAAACACCAAAAAACAAAACAACCCCCCCCAAAAGAAACAACCCCCAAAACTATTGGAAAATAAGGCCTGAAAGATGGAGGCCAAGGGACACACAGTGTCTTATCCTTCCTGAGAGCCGGGCTCAAGAGCGGCCCCAAGTGACAAAATGCGGGACTCAGGGCTGGCCCTCGCCCCCAACTCCAGCATGGCTTTGTATGAATCACACACCAGAGAACAAGGGACTGTTTCTCGGGAGTCATTTGTCAAGTTGACATCCCTGCCCAGAGTTATTTAGGGCTTTCTAAAGACACTTCTTTCCCTCCCTGTTGCTGCAGGAAGCACCTGCGCAGCTGTTGAGCTGTGGTTTTGCTCAATAGCACTTTGATATCCCCTGAGGCCATCAATTACACTTCTGTCCCTGCCCCGAGGACATGGGCTGAGGCCAAGATAGGGGAGCTTGGAGAGTATGATAAAGAAGAAGAGGATGGTGGATTTCTCTGGGATCTGAGGCCAGACATTGTCTGGAGATGGGCTTCTTTTTGATTTCTGGCAAGGACAGCCTGAGTCCTTGGCCGGCTGGTACTGCCTCTTAACTAGAATGTTCCCATGAGACTAGGTCTCCCTCCTGGAGCAGAGCTGTGCTCCTTGCCCACTGCTTAGAGGAAAAGCAGACGCAGCAGATGAGCGCTACTGGAGCAAATCTAGTCTTCGGATTCAGGTAAATGACTTAGGAGAGAGGGAACTTGGACAGGGATCAGAAGGAAAACATCGAAATAATTAGAAGACTTGGCAAATGAACCTTTGGAAGCAGTTAGGGGAAATTAGAGTTGTTGAGTCTAGGGAAGGGAAGGGTAAACGAAGAACCAGCTTTGATTACAGGGAGAATAATTGTGCGGAAATTAGCGGTCATTTCTATTGAAAATATGTGGGTTGTAGATGCTTTACATGGCTGCCTAAGGCTTTTGCTCAGAGAGTGTGGGCCTGACTGGGACACTGCCTTGTTCTTATTCCTTAGGTGGTGGGTCTCCTTCCTTAGAGATTTGCATGAATGAAAATTACATCCTCCCAGCTGGGATGGCTTAGGGAAAATCTTAATGGCACATGGGCATCTCCCCTTTGTTTCACACACTCCAACACGCCAGCTTGACTCTTGCTTTGGAAGCTTCTCAACTGGTTTTTGGACATTCCATCTCTGCTCCCTGGATCCACTCTGCATATTGAGGTCCCACTCATCTCCCTTAAGCTCATCGTGGGTTATTGTAATGTCTGCTCAAAAATCATTGGTGCCTGTGGTAGCTTACTGTGTCTATAACAAATACCTGAGGTAATCAAATTAGAAAGAGGCCAGTGCCTTAAGGATCTCCCACCAGGCCCCACCTCATAAATGTTCTACTGCCTTCCAAAAGTACCACCCTGGGGAACCAAGCCTTCAACACACAGTCTTTTGGGAGACACTTGAGATTCAAATTATAGCAGTGCCTACTCATTCAGTTGCTCAACAAATTTTGAGCACCTATTATATACATGCCACTATTCTAAGCCTTGTGCAAATATGGTACCAGGTACAGTAGGGCCTGAAGGAGTTCACTCAGTCTTCAGGTCCTTGTTCTGAATTCTTTCAAGGCCCCCATCATCGGGTTTTAATATGTCTCTGTGATCTCATGACCACCACAAAATCTTCTTTCTCCTCTATCAACCTAGTTCATTTACCATGCTCTAAGCATTCTGGGCCTTTCTTCTTTCCAGGCCTCTGCCTAGAATATCCTTACCCAGAGCTTATCTATCTTTTAAGGCCAATACAAGTCTCCTCTCCTCCAGGAGGATTTCAGTGACCTATTGGGGTTTAGAAGTCTCTAGCATTTAGCCCCACAGTGCTCCTTATTGGCACTAAGATGTTTCCTGAGAAGAGAGAGCACACAGCACAGCTTCTGTGCCTTCTCTCCGTACCTAAGGACAAGCCTGGATAGGGTTATGACCTGCTGGCCTTCTCTCCCTATCCAGAGCTCTGCTGCCCGTGGTCAGAGGACAGCTCAGTTGTCCCTGGGGCTGCCATCATTGATCAAAGGTAGGGGCTATTAAGGGAGCAGAGATGGAATGTCCAAATGCCAGTCCAGAACTTAAAGGATTGGAGGACCATTTATAAAATACCTTGTTTTGTAGATGGGGAAACCAAGGTCCAGAAAAACCGATTTTTTCCACAGCCCCAGGTAAGGAGGTAGCAGAGTCAAATCTGTTCTCTTTGTCTACTATGCTATCCTGTCTCTACCTAGTCCAGCAATTGGAATCCTCAAGGAACTAACATTTCAAAACACAAAAGGATAAACAGGAGTTGAATTCATTTCCTATTGTAGCTATAACGAACAACCACAAATGTACTGGTTTAAACAACAGAAATTATTATCTTATGGTTTATAGGTCAGCAGTCCAACATGGTTCTCACCAGGCAAAAATCAACGTGTTACCAGGGTGCGATTCTCTCTGAAGACTCCAGGAGAGTGACATTTTCCTGACTTTTCCAGACTCCAGGGGCTGCTGCATTCCTTGGTTTGAGGCCCTGTGTTCCCATCTTCAAAGTCAGGTGGAGTCCTTTTTACCTAATGTCACCCTGACTGGCCTCCTCATCTGCCTCCTTCTACTTTTAAGGACCCATATGTTTTCATTGGGCCCACCTGGGGAATCCATTTAAGTCATCTTAATCACAACCTTAATTTCCCTCTGCCACGTAACATAACATATTCAGAGGTCCTAGGGATTAGGATGTGAACATTTTTTTAGGGACACCATTGTTCTTCCTACCACAGCAAAGAAACAAAATGAGAACCCCTCTCACTATTTCTCTTAATTCTCTGTGGCCTGGAAAACTCACTCTGAAGATTTTCTAGACCTCTGTTTTCAACCTCATCCTTCTCTAAAGAGCTGTGAATTGGTGAATTTGGCCAAGACTCAAAGGAAAGGAACGAAAATGCCAAAATATACAGAAAAGGAGGCACACAAAGGTTGGGATGAAAACCAAAGGGAGACACATCATGTTCCTAAGGATTTGGGCTTTATCTAAACACAGGGAGTTAATATGTGAGACATCTAGAAGGAACCCAATGTGAAGGCCTGCTGGTCATTAAAACCATTAATAAGAGGGAATAAGGAGGGAAAACATCCTGGCCAATTTAAGGAGGGAAATCAATCAATTCTGCAGACTCATGATCTCATCGAATCCAAGGGACCTTATGAGATTCCCTATAGAGCCACACCTACTGCAAGATCCCCAGAGCACCTTTCATCACTCGTCAGGACCCTTTCTTATAAAGCTCTGACTAAGGGTAGGAAATTATCTAGATTCCCTTGGATCCTTTCTAATTCTTTTGAGTCTATGATATTCTGTGAACTCCAAATTTTATTTCTAGTTATTTTGTTGGTATTGGTGGTAATATCAGGCCAACTATCACTTTTCATCTTTTCCCTACCAAGATGATGGGATGCTAAATGTTATTAAATCTTTGTGGGCAGGGTCTGAGTTCCCTAGACCACATGTAGTATTTAACCCTCACTTGGGATCATGGGGAAAGGGAGGAAGACCCAAGGAAGGAGTCATCTTTCTGTCGCATTGGGACCTTCGAGAGCTCTTTTTTCCTTAGTGCTATGGTGGCCATTGTTTAATATGCCTACTGCCACTTTCCTACTCCTCCTGGTAGCAGACCCTGTTCCCTGGCCATGGAGAGAGACATGTGACTCAGGAGGTCAATTACATAGCTCCCATGCTTAGTCATAGTTAATGGGCCAATCAGCATCATTCTTCTAATCCATGGTGTGTGGTGTGGGGACTCCTCTCTGCTCAGTTCATAAGCTATGGAGAGATAAGCTTCATTGGAGGCCGTATCCTCACCTCATGGAGGAGCAGGTTTGCAAAATGGCAGCAGGTAGAAGCAAAAAGAAAAGTGTGAGAGAGTCTTAAGAGTTTCTCAAGGTCCCTCCATCCACCAACTTATTTTTTGCAGGGTTGGTGGGGGGTGGGGTGGGGTGGGGGGCAAGTTTGGTTACATGAACAAATACATTGCTCTTTTAGGCTTAACATTGGTTCAATATCTGTTTATTCCATTGGCAACTCATGGTTCCTGAATAATTTAGGACCTTGTGTTCTTGATTTTTTTCTATTTTCTAGAGAGTTTGAAAAACAAACTAAAGATCAGAAACAATTGGTCTTGGAGTTCAACCTGACCATGATGGTTTATGGAGGAATCAGCAGATGGAGAAAGTGCGAAATGACCCAGGTGAGAAATCACAAAGGTTTCAGCACATGGGGTCTGGCAGGTAAATCCAGGGTCCTGTTACCTTAGCTCCTTTTTGGACCACATCTTACTTAAAATAAATCATGGCCCACACTTACGAGTTTTAGGCCAACTTTGGAATCCTCAAGTAAGTGCCTTTTAGGTATAAATCAGAGGTTTAGAGAGTACTCAGTCAATTGGCTGGTAAGCCCAATGCTTTGGCAGCAGAGAGGAAAGAAAGAAAACTAGGGAAGAGGATGAAATTTAGAAAAGTGAAAGGAGAGAGAGAGAGATGATGACCCCATTATCAAAATAGTGAATAAATATCACCTCTGTGCAAGGCTGTGCTGGTTTCAACTTGTTGTGACAAAACATCAAGTAGAAACCTTATTTGTGATGACAGCGCTAAGAGTTAGGTGTGTCTGGAGTAAGAAAAATGCACACCCAGGCATGACTGGCAGAAAAGTCAATGGGCAATTACTCACGAAGGCTGTTGAGGAACAAACAAGAATGAATGGGCCCACATCTAAACTAGAAGTTAAGCTAAAACATATGGAGGAAAACCCCCCCTTTTTTTAAAATATTCACTTAAAGGCTGGAACAGTCTACACAAAGAGGCCTTGCATCTCCCTTAGAGGAAGATGTTGAGAACAGTTTAGACTGCTTCGCGGCTGCTTCACCAAGCTTGATCCTATGCCTCTGCCCATCACATCTGCTTTTCAGTAATGCTGTGGGGGAGGCAAGTTGTCCCCTTGGACCTTTAAACACAATCTGTCTACGGGTTTTGCATTTTTTTTTCCTAGCAGGGTGAGATTTTCATGTTTGTTTTGCAAAGAAAAGGTTTAGTATGTTTCTTTTCTTTCTTTCTCTTTTTCTTTTGCAATAAACTATTGAACAAAATGTACATAATTTCACCCCAGGTTTTAACCGCTCCCAGATTTGGATGCTGTGTGTCTTGATGTAGCCTTTAGCAAGTCAGGATGGATCTGAAAGGTCAGAATGTGCCTGAACTTTTGACTCGTCCCTTCAGCTCACTCACTGTTGTGTCTGCATTGTTTTAATCTTAAAAATGGAAAACCAGGAGCAATTCTTTCACCATATCTTGTGCAGAGAGACTTTTCCCCTCTTTATAGACCATGCCGCCATCCAAAAGCTTGAAAACACCCCAGGAAACCATCACGTCATTTGACAGGACTAATCACCACACACAACTTGCATTTCCTTCCTGGACGTCATGGGCCACAGTGCCGTAGTTCCCACGTTATTTCTGTCGTTGTCCCCAGAACTGTAACTCTTGATCCTGAGCCTGGGCAGGACAGCTTGTCTCAGCATGAACTCTTATGTAAGTGTCTGTGGGAAAAACTGGCAATCGACAAATATTTTTTCCAGCCCTAATTTTCTCTGCAGCCTTGGAAAAAAATATTTCTCTGAGGCGGCTGCTGCTGCAGTCCTGCAACAGGATGGCAGATTCCCAGCTTAGAAATGTCTTGTGCTGCATTTCTAGGCTCTAAAATCAGAACGAAGAGAACTAAACTAAACTAAAAAGATGCTGAATGATGGAGAGCCGGGACACGTAGTTGGGTTTCTCTACAGGGGCTTTGTGGCAGTGTTTCAAAAAACTGGCCCACACATCCTTGCTGTGGGTAACCACTGCAAAATGACATGGTCACTGCAGAGCTGTGGATGGGAGAATCAGCAGATGGTAGGCACTAACCTGGGAATGGAGAAGCGATTTCATGGCTACCAGCACCAAAGTCAGACTCACTGTGTGAAGAGAGTGCATTCCTACATGCAATGCACTGGGACCATATATTTATAGACTCCATTTCTCCTTGGGCCACTCCCTATCAGAAACTGAAAGGAGGAATACAGCCAGAAAACATTCTGTCTCTAACTCCTGTGACTGAATCCAGTAGAAAAGCAACCATAGTTCCTTCCACCGGAGCAGACAGTTCCTGTGGGTGTCTTGTAGGGATGTTCAGACAGACAGGACAGCCTCCTGGTTCACTGGGAGGAGGTGGGGGAGGGGTGGGAGAAACTCCTTGAAGCTAAAACCCTTCCTCCCATGGCAGTGGCCTGGGAAAGCTGCCTGGCAGCCATTGCTTTTCTGAAGTAGCTATCATCCCCCTTCCCTGCAGTGGTGGCCATCGTGAGGTCTCAGCTGGGATGATCTTGAGTTCTCAGTTTTCCTGCAACGGCTGCTGTTCTGGGGCCACTACCTGTGCTGAAGGCTAAGCTGATTCCTCTGAACCTCTGAGTAATTTAAATCATCTCCCAACGAATTACCGAGTGAGTTCCTTATTAGGGGAGGAGGGATTATAGGAATGGCAGACACATCCAGAGTCCTTTTAGTCTTCCATGAGTCCACCAAGACCCTTGAAAGAGGACTTATTGCCTGTAGCTTGGCAATGATGCTACACGTCCAGGAAGTCACCCCTCTGCTCAGTGTGCAAGGCTGGGTCTGTGGCTGTATTAATCCCACTTCTCTTGTCATTGTCTCCATAACATGAAACTAGGAAAGAACCACCTAGAAAGGAAATTGTTGTCCAAGTTCAATTGGCTAATCCTTGGGTCATGCGTAGCTAGGGTTGGCTATATAATTTGTGGAACTGTGCTAGTCAGGTATCCATTACTATAACAAATTTTGGCTTACAGTGATGGAGCTTTCAGTGCATGATTGGTTGGCCCCAACGATATGAGACTGTCACGAGGCAGAACATCATGGCAGGGAGCTCGTGGTGGAACAAGATGCTCTTCTCCTCGTGGCTGGCCAAAGGCAGAGAGGAAAAGCCCAGTGTTCCACACAGTTTCCTTCAAGAACATACTCTCAGTGTCCTAAGACTTTTTGACTAGTCCCCCACTCCCTAAAGACTTCACCAACTCCCAATAGTGCCACAGGCTGGGGACCAAGACTTTACCCACTTATCCAAACCATAGCAGAGGTGCAGTACAAAATAGAAATGAGGGATCTGTTGTTGAAAAATTATCGAGAATTTCAAAATTGGAATAGCTGAGCTTTAAACCAGTACAGGTCCCATGCAACAGCACAGATCATGTGTTCATGAACCCCCCGACTGTAGTTTTTATTTGAAGTCTAGTTTTCAGAGTGGAGTGCCAGAAAAGGTAATACTTTAAGAATTGTTCAAGAAAGCCAGGAAAGAGATCTGCCAGCTGGCTGCCAGCAGGGCATTCTTGTGAACAAGTAGTGCCTTGTGGGTCACTATGAATAACGGGCTCTCATCCAGTGACTTTCCATAGGTTAAATCATTTCATATACTTGCTTGCATATCATTGATTTATATCTATTAATCATTCATCCTCACAATGAACATATAAAGTAGGCACTGTTACCTCCTTCTGCTTTATAAGTGAGTAAACTGAGGCACAAACGAGCTCAAGGAAATATTTAGTTTGGTTCTTTGTGTTTTGATAATCTCTTCCAAAAGTACTTGGTGCTTGCTAGATGTTGAGGGACTGAATCATGTTAAATTTACAAATAGTTGATTTGGGGGCTATAAGAAATTTATTTCTGTATGCTGATAGGCTGTACCATTCCAGTAACTGAAGTATTTATTTCCAATAATCCAGGGGCACCTCTTTGGGTATTGAGGTGCCTGGAGAGAGCAAAATCAGGATGGAGAGGTTGGGCAGTGAGCACAGAATCAAAACAAAGCTAATTACAAAATCTCAGGGGAGATGCCGACTAGACTAATGCAAATTTGGGAAATCATTCTTGTGTTTCCTGGTTGTCTTCCTGGGGACAGGAGCGACCTGCTGCTGAACGCAGGGCCTCTCTCTGAAGATGCCACCTCACCTCCTCTCGCGGGGCCATCAGAGAGATTGTCACTTCCCCTCCATTACTACATCATGGTCTGAGATTGTTTTAGTCAGCTTTGTTGATGCTGCGACTAAAAGACCCAACCAGAACAATTGTAGAGGAGGAAAAGTTTATTGAGGGCTCACAGTTTCAGAGGTCTTAGTCCATAGAAGGCCAGCTCCATTCCTCGGGGTCGAGGTGAGGCTGAACATTATGGCAGAAGAGTTGGTGGAGGGAAGCAGCTCACATGGTGATCAGAAAGCAAAGTGAGATTCCAGTGGCTGGAAACAAATATATACCCCAAGCCACGACCCAATTCCCACTTCCTCTAGCCACACCCCACCACTTCAGTTACCACTCAGTTACTCCCTATCAGGGGATTAAGTCACAGATTGGGATAAGAGTCTCATAACACAATCATTTCTCCTCTGAACCTTCTTGCATTGTCTTATATGTGAGTTTTGGGGGACACCACATCTAAACCATACAGGGGTAGAATCCCAAACATCTTGATCCTAGCAATGTCTTATCTACAAATGAACCTTGAGGATGCCCCACCCACGGGCCTTTGAGAGCACACTGAATCCAGGCCACTATATGGTCCCTCAACCCAGCATCTAAGTAGCTCTAAAAGGAGTAGAAAGTTAACACCTTAAAATGAGATTACATTGGTTCCATCATGAATTTAGGATAAAGATGCCAGGTTACCCCCTTGGAGGTAAATTAACTGCCTACCTTTGAAAAAAATAATGAAACTGCACTTTGATTGGTTTCAAGTAGGGTTGAGGATATCAGCATAAAGTGAATGACCTTGGAATCTTCAAGGAATTTTTGTTTTGTTTTATTGTTTAATTTGTAATCCTCCTCTTGAAAGATACCTTCTTCCTACAGACAGGGTGCTTTGTAAAATCATTTTCTAAAGAGAAACTGCTGGAAGTGATTTTAAAGGGCCTTTTTTGGGGACCATCTTGAAGAGTAGCACAATAAAAGGAGGATGGTGAGGATGGTAATAATGGTGATAGTGATGATGAGGGTGAGGATGGTGATGGTGATGAAAGGAGCTAGCATAAACAAGTTTTACTATATAGGCATCAGGCATTGTGCTAACTGGATTAAAATACTATCTTTTAACAACCCTATGAGGTTATTCTCAGTTTGATGAGAGAAATAGATTTTCAACCTGTAA